CTCATCCTCCGCTAATTGTTGAAGAACTCTCAGAGATAGCCATGGAGAACAGTTGAGACCGTAGGTGACTGTGGTTAGCTGATAGGAGATTTGTTGCTGATTATCATCAATCCACAAAATTCTCTGGAGGTCCCAATCGTCCCTGTGAACTCGTATCTGTCTAAACATCTTGACGATGTCGGTGCCAAATACGAGTCTGTCCTTTCTCATCCATGTCAAGACGTCCATGGCGTTGATCTGCAATTTTCTACCAGGATATAATATATCATTGAGTGACATACCTGATGAGCTGGGACTGGAGCCGTTGAAAACGACTCTCAGCATTGTGGTGATGGCCTTTTCTCTCAGAACCCCGTGGTGTGGCAGATAACAGGCTGGGGTAGGTTCTGGAGAATCGGGTGCTCTCTGCATATGTCCCAAAGCCTCGTACTCGTTGATAAACTCCTTGTAGAGCTGGGCATATTCCTGATTGTTGTTGAGTTTGCTGACTGTTGATTTGAGCTGTCGTGAAGCCTTGAACTTTGACTCCCCGAGCGCTTCTGCTGACGTTTTCAATGGGAGCCTCACAATGTAACGCCCTGTTGAATCTCTGCTGTGTGTTGATCTGAAGTGTTTTTCACACTCCAGCTCGTCTTGTGATAGCTCTGAGTTGTCTGAACGTTGGACTGATAATTCTTCCTGGACCCAAAACCTTTGTAGAAGCTCTAGTAGTCGTTCATGTGAAGATTCCCGTACAGCTGATAGGGAGACCCTCCTTGAGCGACTGGAGCAGTTGATTGGACCTGTTAATATCCAACCAAATGCTGTTCGTTGGCCAACTAATCTTGACTGTTTAGACTTGACAACTTCATCTTTAATTATCTGCCCGTAGTTGTCAGCCCCTATTATTATATCTATTGGTCCAGGCTGGAGATACTGTTGATCAGCTAGTTGAAGATTTTCTAGTGAGCCGATGTCGACTGATTCACAGGAGAATGATGGCAGGATTGCTGTGAGTTTCTTCAAGACGTGGGCGTTGAGTTTTACTTGCTGGGGCCCGTTGATTGCTTGTAGCGTCACTGACACCCTTCTTCTTGTGTGGCCTGAAGTGACTCCGCCAATTGCTATTAATTCCAACGTTTCTGTTGTTCTTGTGAGGTGCAGTTGATGTACTAATTTCTCAGAGATAAATGACACCTCTGATCCTTGATCAATTAGTACTCTGGCTCTGCTGATGAATCCTTTTGGGGATTTTACTTTGACTTGCGCTGTTGCTAACAGCACTGATTGTTGATCTGCTTCTTGTTGAGTTGTTTCTGCATTCTCACTGGTCCGCTGGTTGTTGAGGTTGACTGTTGCCGTTGATGTACTGGGTCGAGCTGTTGAGAATGACCAATGAGGAGGTTATTTTGTTGATTATGCTATAATTCGTTCACTCACTCGTGATCTTGTCTGTACTCTGCCCTGGATCGACTTTTGCTGATGCAGGGACATCTGTTGATTCCAAGTCACGTCGAGTTCGTGGTGGAGCGTTGGTGTACTCGCTTCCTCCATGAATTAAAGTGTGGTGGTTGCCCTGACATTGTTGACATCTTTTCGTTGAGAAACACTTCGTCTTTCGGTGAGGTCCCAGACAGCTGAAGCAGAGGCCATTGCTTATGACCACGCTGGTCCTCTTTACTGGGGGCAACTCCCTGAATTTCTGGCACTCAGCGATGAAGTGTTTTTCCTTACACATGGCACAACAGTTTCTCGGAAGAAGCCTCTCAGCGTTGCTGTCTTGTTGAGTAGCTGCTGCGTAAGAGCTCTTCTTCTTCTTCAGTGATTTCCTGTCGGCGATGTTGGTTTCCTGTGTTGCATGAAGCTCTGATCCTGCGTTGATTCCTCTGCCGCAGGCTTCGACGAATCCGACGAATTCCTTCAGACTGGGAAAGTCTCTGGAGTCTCCCAGTTTCAATTCCCACTGCTTGAGGGTTTCTGCATCTAATGATCTCCTCAGCAGGTGGGCGATCATCTGTTCAATCAAGTTCGCATCTGAGAGACCGACTACCTCTCGTAGTTGGTCTAGCGACTCGACTGCTGCTGCTGTGTTGTGGTTGAGTTTCTCCTGAGTTCCCTTGGTGATTTTTGGTAGCTTCAGTATTCGATTGAACAGGTACTGAGCCACCAATCTTGGATCATCGTATTTCGCCTTGAGCTTCTCCCAAGCCTTTTCATAATTCTGGTCGTTGATGTCCAATGTCGATATGAGAGTAGCTGGAGATCCTCTGAGGCTGCTTTTGAGCCTAATCAACTTCTCCACTGGTGCGATTGTTGATTTGCTACCGACTAGCGAGGTGAAGAGATCTCTGAATTCCTTCCACTGGGATGGGGTGCCGTCGAAAGCCTTCAAATCCAGACGTTTGAGCTTGTCTGGGTGTTCTTGGCCTGGTGAATTGCTTGCTGGTTGAGTTTTCTTCGACAGCCGACCTTTCAGCTTACTGACGAGCTTTATACTTTGCTCCTTTGTGGCAGCTGTCTGTTCGAAGATTCCTTCAGTCAAGTAGGGATGATCGTGAGGGAGATATTCGATTATGCCTCCCTGCTATGAGAGAAACTCTGCCCAATAGGTCTCAAGCCTTTCTTTCTGTCCATCCAGCTCTTCCACGGTGACGTCCTCGTCATTCATGATCGTGGTGGTGAGCTCCTTATAAATGTGGGTGATGCTCTCCACTCTGAACTTTAGCTGCCTCAGTAGAATCTCTTGATGCACAGTGAGACCTGCAGCGGGTAGCCCTATCACCTCCGAGTATCTCGTCTTGATGTGCTGAATTCGTTGAGTACTCGGGATATTGGCTTCGTCTTCAGTCTCGCTGATTACAGCTTTCGGAATTGTTGATCGTGGAGGTTCTGTCTTCGTTGGTTGTGCCGCTGCGCCTCTAGCATCTTGTTGATTATCTACAGCTTGTTTTTCAATTACGGTATCTGGATCAGACATGATGATGTAATTGAAAGTCTACTTGCTTGAGAATTCCTTGTTGAGTGGCTTCGGATGTCGGTGATGTATTGACGGTCGAAGCGTTTCCGACCGTAGATGTTTGCGTTGTGTCGGTAAGGCGTCGCTTGGGAGGCCGCCTGTTGCTGATCGCACTGGCCCAGCGTTGAGTTCCTTCGGCAGTACTCGTATATCCCGAACTCTCACGAACCTTTTCACCACTTTGAGACACTGATGTTTACACTCCGGATTACCGCCAAGAGAAAACAATAGCACAACTACTCTTTGTCCATTGAGACTCTGTCCGTTGACCGACTCATGTGGACCCCGAAAGTTCGTTACACGAGGCGTCTTTTTAAATTCACCCGAATCCGATCATACTAATTATTCCCAAATCCGGCTCGAAGGACCAATGTTTGGTGAGGGACTAAGTTTAGGGTGGATTGGGAGGTTAGAGGATCGTCGGTANGATTACTCTGACGGACCTTTTCGTACCATTACCTTTCCGGGTGATTCGCTGACTCTTGACTGTTGAACCGAAGGGTTCCGATTGATTTCGAAGATTACCGAATTAATTCCCCGCTGAACTGATAGAATGATGACTATGTTTCAAACAGACCTTTTTTGATGAGAATTTCTTCCCCCACAAAAAAGGTCTTCTGACATTTTCTCCTAACATTGCCCATTATCGAGATAAACGGACAATGCATAAAAATGTCGAATTTGAAATCAGATACCATTATAACTCGAGAGTTTGATGTCACTGAAATCGAGTTACATTATTGAAGGTCACTGCACATTCACGTTGATTATTTGGAATTCTAGCTTCATGCGGAAGAGTTTAAGATCTAATGTAAAATACCCTTGCTATCAAGAGCACAATTTAAAAGAAATTCCGAAGGACCAACAAGCGAAACTTAAAAAGTTATTTTTAAAAAAAGTTAGGTTAATCAAGATTTCTGGATGTGGAATTTTGGTGCAATGGAAGATGTACTTATTATGACATCAAAGAAGCATATGAATGAACGCCTTCAACTGATGGAAATTGTTTAAATTGTTGTTAATAATTTAGAATGGCTTTTCAGGATACGTGTGGACACTACGAATCATGTGAGGGAAACGTCGAAAGATCGATAAAAACAAAAAAAAATAATCACATTTTAAAGTAAGACAATGCAAACCACATGTTCCAAATCATTTTAAAATTATTTCATCAACGTTTACTTACCTCAATAATTAAGTTTGTGCCCCACCTGAACAGCTTGGACGAGTTGATTATTATCACTTTATTAATACTTTCATATATTACGTATAATAGGTCGTATCTCGTATTGTAATCATCGAATAATACGTTGCACTTGTTGATCGGCGCACTGGTTACGTTAATACAGGAACTGGAAAATTACCAACCGGGGCCGGAGCACGGGATTTCTACTTTATCCAGGTAGAAGTTATTCTTTGGAAGGGTAAAAATTATCTCGCGCATGCGTATAGTTTTTGATTCGCACGATTAATAAAATTTCACCGGATTGAGAATAAAAATTATCTCACGGTTTTCAATAATTGACCGGGTAATTATAATCTGTATCCTTCGTAGGGAGATTATTTATTCATGTCAACATAAAATTCACAAAATGAATGATGAATTTGCCGCTTCTTTCGAAAAGTTATCCTGCGGAAGGGTAAAATTTATTTTGCTTATTATAAATTTTATTTTTTGATTATTAATTTTTATCAGAATTTAGCATAGAAATAACTTTCAGTACACTTTTATCCTACCAGAAGGGTAATTCTTATATATTTTTTCTCTCCGTGTAGGGGGAAACATTCACGTTTTCACCAATAAAATTACTATTGCCGGCACTGGAATTTTTTCCTGGCCGTCACTTTGCGCCTCTTTTCCCGTGCTAGCACGAGATTTTTTCTAAAATATTTCTCTCCGTGTAAGTTTCTTAACTTGTGACTTAAGAATTTACACTATCTTAGCACCAGTTGATGTGAATTGGATTTTTCCCTTACTATTCAATCAACCATTATTGGTTGGTATGGATAACTTTCCTTACATTGAGAGAAAAATCTGAAATTTGATTTACTATAAAAAAATAGTTGAGGCAGTTTTGGTGAACGATACGATTTTTTTTTGTATGCGGTACATAACATTATAGTAACTTCACAAGCGTAATTTTTGCAAACCAAAATGCAGTTAAACTAACCAAAAGTAACCACGACAAATCTATTGTGAGCAAAACTATAAAATAGTAGCAATGACTACATTCCATTGTAGTAATCACTTCTCCGGCCATAGTTACCGTAACCCATGAGAAATTGTTGAGGACTTTTTGACTATAGTGCGATGGTTTTGATTGATTGATTGAGTTTATTGCTGTACATTATGTTGTACAAAATTATGGTGGCAGAACCACATAAGCTGGTATACAGTAAATCCCAGCGAATATCATGGAGTAAACAATACATGGTAATAATAATTGATACATAAAAAGCAGAGTAAGATGAGAAGGAGCAATATGCAACAGAAAGAGCAAGCTTCGGCGGGTCCTAAACAAACGGGTAAATAGCAAGTGCGAAAAGGTAACGTTGAAAGAGGGAAGAGTGTAAGAATAAGAAGGGATAGGAAGACTGGGGCAGCAGGGGAAGGGAAAGTGATAAGAGGAGAGCAAAGGGTAGGAAAAGCATTAAGAGTTGTCCCTCAGATAATTCCGCACAGCTAATCAGAAAGACGACAGTGTGGGAAGATCCCGCACTGCAGAGTGAATTGAGTTCCATAAATAAGCCGCAGACACGTGGAAGGAGGATCGCATGGCTTCAGTCCTGAAAGGCTTGATCATAAGGGGAGTCACATCACCCCTCACCGGCTGCACGGCCCGACTGGTCACAAAAAAGTCAGCCAGATACACCGTCTGACCAAAGCGGAGGATCTTGTAAGTGAGGCACGCAAGGAAGTACTTCCTGCGCACTTCACACGTCGTCCAGCCAAGCCGCAGACGATAGGGAGTGATGTGCTCGTCTCTCCTTAGCCCAAAGATGTATCTAACCGTCATATTGATGAGACGCTGAATCACAGTAGCAAGTACACCAGACAGACCATCATACACGAGATAGCAGTAGTCGATCAGGGGAAACACCAAAGCCTGAATGAGGTGTTTACGCAGACCCAGAGTGGTACTGACTCTAAAGAACCGAAGGCGGTACATGACAGAGTGAACCCTCTGCGTCACATGCGCCACATGTTCTTTCCAAGAGAGCTTGTTATCCAGAACCACTCCCAGGCTACGCACGGAAGTATCAAACGGAATTGCAGAGCCACCAACGTTGACAGACAAACCGGGCAAGGAATAGACATCGTTGATGAAGACATTACAACCAAAAATGATGGCTTTCGTCTTCGCCACATTCAGCTTCAGCTGATTTGCATTAGCCCAGTCTGTCACATGGTTAGCAGCATTGCTCATGCGATGAATGGCATCCTCTAACTCCTCACGTGGAAAGGTCAGGTAAATCTGGAGATCATCAGCATATATCAGATGCCGAACTCCAGACCCTAAGTTTACATTAACATCATTAATGAACAGGAGGAATACCAGAGGACCTAGAACAGATCCCTGTGGAACTCCCCTATTCAGATGACAGAAGGATGAACAGCCACTCGCCCCGCCTAGTGTAGCCTGCGAACGACCACCCAGATATGATGCAAGCCACCTCAGTGAAGAAGCTGAGAAGCCATAGCCTAACAGCTTCCGCAGCAGCAACACGTGACAAACGGAATCGAACGCCTTGCTGAAATCGAATAACAGCAGCATCGTCAGCTAACGTCTATCAATACCCGTCCTAATGTCGTCTGTCAGTTTCAATAGCGCCGTCTGCGTCCCATTGAATGGACGAAACCCCATCTGCAGGGAGTCCAGAATGAAGCGCTCAGCAAGGAAGCCGGAGATTTGCTGGGAAGCAAGTTTCTCCAGCACCTTGGAGAGGAAACAGAGCAAGGCAATCGGCCTGAAGTCATTAGGTGACACAGGGTTTTTCACCTTGCCAAGCGCAACAATAAGGGACCTCCTCCATTCAGAGGGAAAGCAGGACCGAGCGAAAGAGATGTTAAAGAGCATCACTAGATAAGGTGTTAGAATCGGCAGGGCAGCCACAACCACCGACCTGGGAACCTCATCAGTTCCTTTAGCTTCGGTAGAGAAGTGCCGAACAGCCTTCTGTACCTCATCAGCACTGACTGGCCTGAAGGAGAAACCCACGGCAAGAGGAATGGACTCTAGCTCAGCCGAGTCCAAGAACCCATCCAGCGAAGGCTCCTTCTCATCAAAGGACACTCCAGCAAAGCAACGATTCAAGACATCATGATCGAAATCGGGTGTTGAGTCATTCCCAGTCACCACACCAAGCCTTCTGAGCTCCTTCCAGATAAGCGAAGGGTCAGAGAGAGGCTCCAGCCTTCGCTGGAAGAAAAGTTGACGTGCCGCTTCAACCTCACGATGAGCACGATCACGACCCGTGCGATAGGTTAAGAGTGCCTGACGAGAGTGAGTACGTTTGTACACACGGTACAGGCGATCTCTCTTCGCTACAAGAGCAACGATCCCATCAGTAAACCACGGCTTGCGCTTCGAGGACTTCCTCATCGTCTTGAGCGGGACAGCAGCGTCCATGGCGACTCCAAGATTACCGCCCAGACATGCAGTCATTTTGTCTGGAGACGACAGGCCATCGAACACCGACCAGTCGCTCCCGGCAAGCTGTGACAATGGCACATCAAGATCCAGAGCAGCAAAATCCCTGTAAGTGAAGTCCCTACTCACAGATGGGCGAGGCAGGACAGCCTGTATTGTTGCAGTGATAAGTTCGTGACCATCCACAAAGGGGGCCTCTGTCTTTCAGTAGGACAGAAGCGTGTCATCATGATCAATCAGGCACAGATCCAGCCAGGAGTCTGAGCCATGAGTATGATGAGTGGCACCGCGCGGCACAAGGCTCAGAGA